TTCTTTTCATTTTATGATCAAATGGTATATAAAATTAGTTATGGATCCGTTGCTAGAATATTGTTACTCAACATTTCGTTGCTAAATAGGATTAATAGTAACGTTTTCATGTTTGGAGACATTTATTTCAATGGAAAACTTTTCAAGCATGTTAAATTAATGTTATTACTACAACAACTAACCCGCCTTAATTCCTAATTAGTTAGAATCGATTCAATTATTTCGAAAATTCAATGATCTATGTTCTTTAACCTTGGAAATTATCTATTTTTTATTGATAAAAATAAAAGCATGCATAGTTTGACATAAGATTCCACCTAGGGTTGAGATTTTTCCAAATTTTGTTTTTGAAAATTTTTAATACAAAAAAGTGATTGTGTATGGAAATGAAAGATTATTTTAATAATGTGGTAGTAAGCAACTCAAACAATAGAATAGTAATAGACAAAGAACCTATCATTTAATTAAGTGAAGAGGGTGCACTATATGAAGCGTATAAAGTAATTAACATAAACGGATGACAATAATCTAGATTTGAGATCATTCTTTGTGTTGTTAAGTTATTATATAGTTGAGTTTAGAGAAATGGATTGTAAGCATAGCATTGCAAATTTCTTTTAGTAAGAAATGGACTATTTTGCCAACAAAGCTGAAAAATAAGAAACTAAAACCTTTCTATGAGTTGAGGTCAGCAGGGGCAAGAAATTATGAAATAATTTGACCGAATATAATCAAATACTTAGTTTGCAGGATCATTAAATATTATTTTACTAGTTAGAAAGTGCAATCACATGTATATAAACACAAACTACACCATATAAAGCCACAGTCTAAAATCATACTTGTTACAGTTGTTCGTTCCGACACTTTTTGGAGAAGAAACCTTCAAAGAATCTTCACACGAACTTTAATAGAATTGGAGAAGGACGAAGGAGAAGAAACAAAAAAAGTGTATGTTCTTTTTGGAATTGTAGAGAACGAAGAGTTTTTCTTCTATTTTTTCGATTTCTCTTGTGAGACCCTTTTTATAATTCTGAAGGGATACAACTATTCAAATAGTTGTCTCTTATAAAAGGGATACAACTATTCAAATAGTTGTGTCTCTTATAAAAGGGACACAACTATTCAATGGTAGTGTCTATTCTGAAGGGTTACAACTATTCAAATTGTTGTGTCTTTTCATTATATTAATTAATATATAATAAATAATTATATATATATATATATATCTGTTTTCTTTTCACATGGATCTGGGTTGACCCACATGGGTGACCCAATCCAATTTCCTTCATCTCCCATCACGCATAGTAGTGGGACAACTCTTATTCCTATTCTATAACTTTCATACATTACGACTAGACCGTGTGATCAGTGCATACTTCGAGAGCTTCGTTGCTATACAACTGTTAGGAATATAACATCTCGATTAATGAAATTTCAAGAGTTGATCAATTTTTTTTATAGCTATTATCAATATTTTAAGTTATTGACTATTGTAATTTATAATACTATTTTTCATATTTTTTAAAAACATAATACACTAAAAAGAAAATAAACGAAGAAATACTAAATATTGTAATTTATAGTATCATTTTTTGTTAGTTTTTAAATACATGATATAAAAAAGGTAAATAAATGAAGAAATACTAAATATAAAATAGAGAAAAATTGAAGAAAAAAACAAATCATCAATTGCCAAATTATATGACAAATTAAACATTCGCTCTTGTAATATATGACAAATTAAAAAAGGAAATTACTTTATTAAATTCATTTACTGATTAGATTTGTATTTACACAGTCCAATATGTATTTGATACTAATAAATATTCATTATAAATAGAATTATATCCGTTTATTTCTTAACAAATAAAATAAAAACTATTAACCTTTTTCTTGTGGAGCCTCCAGTATCATCGTTTGACTCGTAAGTTTTTTTTTTCTTCTTCTTTTTCTATCAACAAACATTTAATTATTTGTATAATTTTGATTAGAAATTTCAGTTCATTCATTAAAGAGAGGAGATTTTGTTTGTAAAACTTGATTCTTTTTGTTGAGTTTTTATTCTTGGAATTCTTCATTGATGAATGTATATTTAGGGTTTGTAATTTGTGTGATATGAAATTGATTTCCGTGTATATATCATGTTCAATTTAATTTTGAAACTGAATAAAAGATTTGGGGAAAATATCTTTTTCCCCCTTTTTATTAAATTAATGAAACATGCCCATGTCCATATCCATATCCATGAATTCAATATATCAATTTTCTTGTCAATCTTTCCTAATGAAGAAATGTGTTATAGATAATCTTGATCTAGGTTTTAATATTAGGGTTGAAATTTTGAGCCAATCATCTTTTTATATACCTAGATTTAGGAAAACAAGATCCAAATAGCTTTGATTATTTTTGTTTGCTCAATAAGGTAGAATAGTCATGAATTTTGAACATGAATTGAGATACAATCAGATATAATAATCATGTTTTCTGTTGAACTAATCTTTCATGTTACTTTATGTTGTATGTACATTTTATAGAATAATATTTCGCTTTAGCATTCAAGAGATTTTGGGATAAATAATATTATTATATGTAGAAAATTTTGACTTTATAAATATCATACCCACAGCGGAAGATGGTTCATTACTCATTAATTTCTTGATTGTGTGTTATCTTACCCTCAAAGATTTCTCGATTATTAAAAAGAAATACAACTTATTCCTCTTTAAATATACTTGTTTTGGTGTTAGCTAGGAATACTACCAAAAGAACATAGATTGGTGACATATAATTTTTGTCCCCTCTTTAATAATAATGAATTAGCAATGATGTATTAAAATGCAATGATTTATTAAAACAACATATTAGTAACAATCTATCTAGCCACAAAGTTCATGACTATTTTATGTTTTTCTAAGAAAAAGGAGGCATGCCATTATATTGTTATTTATATTTTAGTGATATATAGGTCTTGAAGTAGGGTTCTTTCTCATATATAACTATGAGATTCTTTATACACTAAACTACACTTTTTATAATATGTTTACTTAATAATCCTTACTCCTTTTGTTGGGATAATAATTTAAAGTTGGAGTAGAAAAAATTTAATTTTTTAGAATTTGTTATTTTTAGTATTTATTTAATTATGTCTAGTTAAGATTTGTTTGTCCTAGTTCATAGATTCAGAATTTTTGAGTATGTTTATAAATAAAATATTTCCATTCACTGTTTATACTTTTGCAGAGAGATAATGAATGCCGTTGTGGACACATTGGATAAGATATATGATGAACTTTTAACGGCACTAGCCATTGTGCTAGAGACAAGAAAAAACTAATGGTGGAGAAAAACCAGAAGATGTAGATCTATCTCTTGAAAGTTTCCAAAAGAGTTTGTTATCCTTCCAAGCTTCTTGTGATGAAGCACAAGAGTTTGTTCAGACTTTGAAGCATAGTGTAGGATGCGAAAAGTTTCCAGAACATGTGTTTGATACTGATTCTATTCCTATTAAGATCGATGATGAGAAAACGTCAAAGATAAAGATATGAGTACATCAAAATCTACCTTAGAAGATCATTGGAATATTCCAGACAAATTGTTACGAAGCGTCATTAGACTAACTAGATCATCATGAACCTTTAATTAGGGTCATTATGTTAGAGTAAAATGGTTTTTAGTTTATTGAACAATTTGCAATTTCACATTACTTGTTTGTTTTTGAGATAATAGAATTAAGTCATAACGTCGTATGATGTTTTTGAATATTTGACTAAAGATAGTTTATTATCTATGGTTTTATTTAAGCAACATTGGTCTATTTATATAACGAATGACTCAAGTACTATTTATAGTTAAATTTTAGGGAGCAACTTTCGTGAGACTCGATGTTTTAAGAACTTTCACGAATTCATTAGAACTCATTAGGGTTGTAACAACTGTTGAGCAATAACTGAGAAAAAGAATCATGAACTTTTTGAAAATGATTGAGCTTGGGCTTTATTTTGTCTGGGCATAGTTTGTTGTTCGATTCCATACTTTTTAATTCAAAATTAGAAATTATATGCAAATGGTTGAGTTTCGGCTTTATTTTGTTTGGACATAGTTTGTTGTTTGATTTCATACTTTTTAATTTAAAATTAAAAATTATATGCATTTTCTATTGACAAAAATAAAAGTATCCATAGTTTGACATAAGATTCCACCTCCCATCAATAGGTTTGAGGTTTCTCAAAATTTTGTTTTAGAAGTTCTTTTATATAAAAAAAAAGTGATTATAGTTTTTACTCCTATATGTTTAAAGATTTGTGAGTGTTTAATTTGGGGAAAGAAATCATTTTTTATTTTGTTACAAAAGGTGCTAAAACCATATGGCTTAAAACAATAGTTTAAAATCAATTGTAAAAACTTATTGAAAATGAAATTTATGGTGATTTGGTGTGATTTTTGAGATGTCTTGGATGGATTTGGTCCTTGGATTCAAAGAAGATGAAGAATTCAGTTTTTTGTATAATAGTATAAAATATCGTAGAATATTATATATGGTGTATAAGCATTTCTTATAATTTAGTATTATATTACTTATCAAATTTTAACCATGGTTAAAAAAGTTTGTGAAAGTTATATATATTGGTGTATATCAAATATAGATATATTATTATATATCAAATATATAATATTATATATGGAAATTTTAAACATTTAGAAAAATAGTAGCTATGCGACATAAAATTTCAAAAATCTAACTACCTAAATAACCCAAAATAAAATGATCCACGCAATGAAAAATATTAATTATACTAATTTTAATATATTAATAATTCACTTTCTAACCTGCGACCAAATAATAATAATCAAGTGTGAATGGTAAGAGGAATAGTCAAAATGGAATCAATCACCACTTTACTAGTAAGAAAATGACTCCTCAACTCTAAATGGAATTTTTGTCCCCACTTATATCTCTTAAAATAAAGCATATATACATGTCCAAGTATGACAAATTAGTAGCTTTTTCAACTTTTTTATTTCCTTCTTTTCTTGAGTACCTCTTTTTAAGCATTTGGTACTGTAATTTAGCGGTCTGCACAAAAAAATGGAGCACAACACACAAATCCAAATTCCAAGAGTCAAATTGGGTACCCAGGGTCTTGAGGTAAATTACCAATATTTTAACTTTGATTTCAATTTCCATTTAGGTTTTAAATTCTTTTATACTGTAGTTTGGTAATTTATCTGAAAATTATTGATCACTGAAGTAAGAGGGGAAAAGAAAAGAGTACTAGTACTTTGTGACAATCAATTGATTTGTGTTGAGTTTGTTGAATTTATCAGTTTTAGCTTTGTTGGATACAAATTAAAGCTCAATTAACTTAATTGTACATATATTTTTCATTTGAACTATTTTGAATTTAAAATTTGGACTCTTGAAATTTTAGCATGATCTTTGCGTAATAGCAATAGATGTTTAGGACTATTGTTTTAGAGGAGGAAAATATTTTAAAAAGGCAGCCCTAGGCACAAAGCATCCCGAGTCAGTGTGGTCCAGGGGTGGGTCGCACCAGGGGTGTCATGTAGACAATCTACCTTAATATGGCTGCTTTCATGACTTGCTTGAACACGTGATCTCATAGAGACAACTTTTCATATCCCTTCGTCGGAAAATTACGTTGTGTAGCTAGATAACAATATTTTATATATGTATATCTGTTACATATTGACACTTTTTTGCTTCTATGCAGTTTTACTTCTTTACATTTTGACACCCCTTTAGTCAAAATTCTTGTTGTCACGGACTCAAGGTTTTTATGAGGACGAAAAGATTATACTACCAATATTTTTGCTAAAATTGATTGTATTGTCAAATTCTGAGTTTTATCCTTCACATTTTTCAGTAATTTCCTTGTTTGAGTTTATTTCATTATTTCCCTTTGTTTAAGATTTGATGTTTTTACTGAGGCAGTGTTCAGTGTCGCTCCTTCATTTCATTTCTGTAATAATGATTAGTCCCTTGAGTATTCTACCGCCTATGCAGTAGTGGAGCCAGGAATTCTATGAAAGGGATTAAAAAAAATCGAAAAATGACTTACCTGGGATTTGAACATGTATTTCTCTTATGTTAAGGGATTCAAAATTTTATGTATATGCTCAAAAAGATTTATTTTTTGCCTATTTATGCAGTATAACTTTCTGATAAATTGCATCCCCTTCTTTGCATGTGGCTCTGCCATTGCGCCTATGGTTATAGTTATTTTGTGTATGTCCATTTATCTCACTAACATTTTCGTTATCAGCCTCCAAAATTTCACTTAATTGAGAGACTCCAATCAATTGATCAGACCATGAATACTTTTTGACACCCTTAGTTCTGCTCTTGAAAAGAAGGGCTTTAGGTTCGCGATGGTTCCGAGATATGGGGACCTTTGAAAAACATTTATGCTAAAAGAGAAGGCAAAGTTTTATTCCTATGCTAGAAGCTTTTAAATCATTAGTTAATCTTTTACTAGGTCTCGAAACTCGGGTTTGGTTGTGGAGGACTTTCTGGCTATTTTAATGCTCCTCTTTCACATGAAGCTGGCTGTGCAGTCTTAAAGGAAGCATTCAGCAAAGGCATCACTTTCTTTGACACAGCAAACGTATACGGGCATGAGGGTTACAATGAGATAATGGTGGGAAAGGTACACTTAATTGATCAGTGTACTATTCAATATTTTTGTGTTGATCAATTCATCGTCTTCTGTTTGAAGATTTAGAACCATATAATCACTCAGTGTTGCTGAGACTATCATATAAGTAATGATTTTGCTTTTTAAATGGTCATTTTGGGATAACCAGGTATTGAAGCAGCTCCCTCGTGAGCAAGTCCAACTGGCAACCAAATTTGGGTGTATATTTCCCGAGGACTTCAGTGACTTCCAGTGTCAAGTCAAATGCACTCCACAATATGTGCGGCAATGCTGTGAAGAAAGTCTCAAGCGGCTTGACGTGGACTACATTGATTTATATTATCAGCACCGGACAGACACATCTGTGCCTATAGAGGAAACTGTAAGTATCAAATTTTATCCATGTTCTTGCCTATGGTGATAAATAAATATGTTGTACAGAAACTTGATTTTGTTGAATCAATTTCATGAGACAAAAGATGGGGGAACTCAAGAAGCTAGTGGAGGAGGGAAAGATTAGGTACATCGGCTTGTCTGAAGCCAGTGTTGACACAATTAAGAGGGCGCATGCTGTTCATCCCATCACTTGTGTGCAAATGGAGTATTCTCTTTGGACTCGTGAGATAGAAGAGGATGTAATTCCGCTTTGTAGGTATGCTCGTATCTGATGAATATATGTTGTCACTCAATGATTAAGATCACTTTAATGACTTTTTTTTTTTTTTTCCTGAATGACACTATTATCATATAGTATTTGAACTGGTTAGTCATTAAGCGATAGCAGAAAGAACTTCAAGAATTGTCTAATATTTTTTTCTGCCACCTTAATACAGAGAATTGGGCATCGGTATTGTTGCGTACAGCCCCCTTGGCCAGGGGTTCTTTGGTGGAAAGGCAATCACAGAAAGCTTGCCTGCGGAAAGTCTGGTGGTAAGTAACTGCAGTAGTTCCTAGTAGATGTTACGTATTGCACAGTCCCTCTTAGATTTATTTCCTATGGATGAAGTAGTCATCACTCTCTTTCCCTTGTTTGGTGTGACTATATAAGTACGTCGTGTATAAGAGATGACGCTAAGAGATTGCATGCCTACCACTCCTGTGTCGCATTTTCTTCATTCTAGCTGACTTTGTCCAAGATGACTTAGTTATCTTTACAGTATTGGGAAATGAAGAAGCAATTACTCCTCAAACACAATCTAGTCAGGTCAGCTATATAAATGATCTTCTGTGCTCATTCCTCTTTATTCAGACTTATTTCATTTCAATACCAACCAATTAATTTGTTTCTTGAGACAATGTATCAGTCATCTTTATACCATACATATGGCGGTATCTCGAGAGACTTTCCTCAGTAAGACGTGATTATTTCTAATTTTAGTTAATTTTATATGACCTTACATAACATATATATATCTTAAAATCTGCATTTCAACGATACATGTTGGACCTTAAAAGCCTAAGCATTTACTATCATATAACAATGTTAGTCTCATAACTATTTTATATAACTTGTTTTTCGCTATGTTAGGCATCTTCATATCGCATAGTACTTCCCTATAACTCCTTCATTCTACCATCTTTTGTGGTTTCGTGTGTTAAATATTCATCTATCATGCCATTCTTTGGGAAGATTACATCTAGGTAACTCAATTTCTCTGTTTTGTTAGGGTTCTCATCCAAGATTTTCCGGAGAGAACTTGGAGAAGAACAAAGCTCTTTACATAAGATTTGCTAACTTAGCAGCAAAGCATGGTTGTACACCTCCTCAACTAGCTTTAGCATGGCTTATGCATCAGGGAGATGACGTGATTCCGATACCTGGTATGATATATAACATACCTTTTCCATTATGCAAATCAAATTACAATTTCTTCTTAATTGAATTCCTCTCCTCGAGATGTTGTTATACTAGTTAGATTCTTGGTCATCGTGGTGTTCGTTTGTTAACTGAAATATGTCATTTAACCTTGGACCTGTTCTAAAAAAGTCGAGGTATTTCTAATCATACTTCCAATGTGTTGCAGGAACAACAAAGATTAAGAACCTAAATGCCAATATTCAATCCCTAGCAGTGAAACTTACACCAGAAGATGTGAAGGAAATCGCGGATGCTATCCCCATTAGTGAAGTCTGTGGAGATAGAGAGCACGAAACGCTGTTTAAGTACGAGTATCGGGTAGCTAATACACCATTAAAACAGTAACATCACGTTGGTGAGAAATCATAAATGGAACTAATCACCATATCTTAGTTTCATTACTAACTAAATCGCCTGTTCTGGTTTTTTGAATAAGTGGAGCTCATCAATAGCGCATGTATTGTTATCCCTTGTTGATGTATATATTGTCTTCTTTTGTTTTACCTTCCGGTGTTCGGTAGCCTGAACCCGAGATCTCTGGTTAGTTATCCACTGTACCATCCTTGGTGTATATACTATCATTTGTCAATCTAATTATTGTCTTAGCTAAAGCTATCAAATTTCCCAATTCTTGAAAATTTTGAACTGAATTTCCCAACACAAATCTAATTGTTGTCGTTTGACACTCTAATTCTTAAGTTTTTATATTTAATATAAAATATAATAGCAAAGTTTATGAGAACAAAAGATATTGTTATAAATTATTATTTTTTTATAAATATCATACCCATGGAAAGATGGCTCACTAGTCATTACTCATTAATTTCTTAACTGTGTGTTATTTAACCCTCGAGGATTTCTCGATTATTAAAAAGAAATGCAGCTCATTCCTCTTTAAAGATGATGCATATGGTAATTGTTTTGTTGTTAGCACTTAGCTAGGTGTGCTACCAAAAGAACATGAATCGGCGACAGATAATTTTCATCGTTAAACAATGAATATTTGTCGTAAGCATGGATTAACAATGAATTATTTAAAACAAAATGTTAGTCACCATCTATCTAGCTACGCGACGAAGTTCGTAGCTAATTTATGTTTTTTTAAGGGAATAAAAAGAGACATGCCATTATATTGTTCTTTGTATTTAATTGATACATTTGTTTAAGGTAGACTGTCAGCATCACACTCTTTAAAGTGCGATTCTTCCTCAAATCCTACGTGAACACGAGATGCTTTGCACAGTACTAAACTGCTTTTTTGTAATATGTCTGCTTAATATTCCACACTCCTTTCATACTTTTGCAGAGAGATAATGGATGTCACTGTGGACTCGTTGGACAAGGCATATGAAGAATTTTTAACAGCAACAGCCATTGTGCTAAAGACAAGAGAGAATAATATTGGTGGAAAAAAACTAGAAGGTGTGGATCCATATTTTGATTTTTATTGATTAGATTACTAACATAATGCTAACTTTTCTTTTCAAATGGAAACAATAATATCCATTGGATTGTATTTTTTTTAGTTACAACTTATTGTAGAGATTCTATTACCAGAGGGGAAAAAAAATAGAATTGCTTATCCATCTGTTGCTAGATTGTAACTAAATATTTCATCGCTAAGTATTTTTTTTTTTAATAATTGATTACTAAATAAGATTTGACAATAATTTTTTTCTTTTTATCACTCATTTTCGTAGTGCTCTCTCAAGTGATAGGTATCTTAATGCACTTCACACACTTTTGAGAGATCACACTGGTCATTGGAGGATGAGATTCGTCGAATGCACCCCATACACTAACTCTACCATGGATGAGCTGCAAGCCCTAAAAAGAGAATTGCATTTAGGAGTTGACCACAATCTAACTCTTTCGGAAATCAACACTTTATCCATATGTTTGAGCATGACCATTTACTCTATAATAATCTTATTATTGAGTGCAAATCATTAAATGCATAAGTTGGGTGCTCTAAGAATGATGCACATAGGCTGACAAATCGAGTAGTGAAGAAAGGAATTTTTGATATACCTACTATTTTGCTAGTTAGGAAGCAGACAATCTAGGAACTATTTTTCCTGTAAAAACTATAACTAATGATATTATTATCTAGGGTTGTGATATGACCCAAAAGACTATTTTCTAAATAATACAACAATAAATAACAAGACTTAATGAAATGTACCTATCTATATTGTACATTTAAATCCATTTCATTTCAAAATTTAATGATCTATTTTCTTTAAACTTAGAAATTATATGCATTTTTTATTCATAAAAATAAAATCATGCATAGTTTGACGAATCCACCTCCAACCAATAGGTTTGATGTTTCTCAAAATTTTGTTTTGAAAGTTTTTTATAAAAAAAAAAAGTGATTATAGTTTGTCCTCTTCTATTCCAAGAGATATGTGAGCGTTTAATTTGTGGAAAGAAATCATTTTTTAGTTTGTTGCGAAAGATGCTAAAACCATATTGCTTAAAACGATAGTAAAAATCAATTGAAAAAAACTTATTGAAAAGGAATTTTAGGGTGATTTGGTGGGATTTTTGAGATGTCTTGGATGGATTTGGTCCTTGGATTCAAAGAAGAAGAATTCAATTTTTTGTATAATAGTATATAATATTGCATTGTATTATATATGGTGTATAAACATTTCTTATAATTTAGTATATATTATTATATACCAAATATATAATATTATATCTAAAAAAATGTAAACATTTAGAAAAATAGTAGCTATGCTACATAAAATTTCAAAAATCTAATGAAGAAATATTAATTATGCTAATTTTAATATATTAATAATTCACTTTCTAACCAAGTGTGAATGGTTAGAGGAATAGTCAAATACTCAAATGGAATCAATCACCACTTCACTAGTAAGAAATTGACTACTCAACTCTAAATGGAATTTTTGTCCCCACTTATATCTCTTAAAATAAAGCATATATTCATGTCCCAAGTATGACAAATTAGTAGCTTTTTCAACCTTTTTTTTTTCCCTTCTTTTCTTTTCTTTAAGTACCTCTTTTTTAAGCATTTGGTACTGTAATTTAGCAGTCTGCACAAAAAATGGAGCACAACACACAAATCCAAATTCCAAGAGTCAAATTGGGTACCCAGGGTCTTGAGGTAATTACAAATATTTTAACTTTGATTTCAATTTCCATTTAGATTTTGAATTTTTTTTTTTACTTGTATTTTGGTAATTGATGGAAAAGAAAAAAATATTAGTAGTACTTTGTGACGATCAATTGATTTGTGTTGAATTTGTTTGCAGCAGAATGAGTTTTAGGTTTGTTTGATGCAACTTAAAAGCTCAATCAACTTACTTGTAGATATATTTTTCATTCTACCTATTTTGAATTTTGAATTGGAGTCTTGAAATTTTAGCATAATCTTTCTGTAATAGCAATTGATGTTTAGGACTATTGTTTTAGAGGAGGAAAAGATTTTAGAAAGGCAGCCCTAGGCACAAAGCATCCCGAGTTAGCATGGTCCAGGGAAGGGTCGCACCAGGGGTGTGATGTAGACAATCTACCTGGCTGCTTCCATGACTTGAACCCGTGATCTATAGATCACATAGAGACAACTCAACCGTTGCTCAAGGCAGTGGTGGAGCCACATACTCCCCTTCATCAGAAAATTACACTGTGTAGCTAGATAACAATATTTTTTGTATGTATATTTATTACATATTGACACTTTTTAGCTTCTACGCAATTTTACTTTTTTATATTTTGACACCCCTTAGTCAAAAATCTGGCCCCGTCACGGGCTCAAGGTTCCCTTATGGGGATGAAAAGATTATACTACCAATATTTTTGCTAAAATTGATTGTATTGTCAATTTTTGAGTTTTATCCTTCACACTTTTCAGTAATTTCCTTGTATGAGTTTTTATTTCATTATTACTCTTTGATTAATATTTGATGCATTTACCGAGGCAGTGTTCATTGTTGCTCCTTCATTTCACTTCTGTAATAATGATTAGTCCCTTGAGTACTCTACCGCCTATGCAGTAGTGGAGCCAGGATTTCTGTGAAAGAGATTAAAAGAAATCAAAAATGACCTACCTGGGATTTGAACATGTATTTTTCTTATGTTAAGGGATTCAAAATTTTATGTATATGCTCAAAAAGATTTGTTTTTAGCCTATTTATGCAGTATAACTTTCTGATAAATTGCATCCCCTTCTTTGCATGTGGCTCCGCCTTTGATATGGTTATAGTTATTTTGTGTATGTCCAATTATCTCACTATTATTTTCCTTGATTATTTGTTATCAGCCTCCAACATTTCACTTAATTGAGAGACTCCAACCCATTGATCAGATCATGAATACTTTTTGACACCCTTAGTTCTGCTCTTGAAAAGAAGGGCTTTAGGTTCGCGATGGTTCCGAGATATGGGACCTCTGAAAAACATTTATGCTTAAAGAAAAGACACAGTTTTCTTGTATGCTGGAAACTTTTAAATCATTAGTTAATCTTTTTTCCAGGTCTCGAAACTCGGTTTTGGTTGTGGAGGACTTTCTGGCTTTTTAAATGATCCTCTGTCACATGAAGCTGGGTGTGCAATCTTAAAGGAAGCATTCAGCAAAGGCATCACCTTCTTTGACACAGCGAACGTATACGGGCATGAGGGTCACAATGAGATAATGGTGGGAAAGGTATATGCTTAATTGATCAGTATAGTGTTCAATTTTTTTGTGTCGCAATTCATCGTCTTCTGTTTGAAGATTTAGAACCACATAATCAGATGTTGCTGAGACTTGTTCCTTTTTAAAACTATCATATAAGGAATGATTTTGTTTTCTAAATTGTCATTTTGAGATAACCAGGTATTGAAGCAGCTTCCTCGTGAGCAAGTCCAACTGGCAACCAAATTTGGGTGTATATTTTCCGAGGACTTAGATGGCTTACAATGTCAAGTCAAAGGCACTCCACAATATGTGCGGCAATGCTGTGAAGAAAGTCTCAAGCGTCTTGACGTGGACTACATCGATTTATATTATCAGCACCGGACAGACACATCTGTGCCTATAGAGGAAACTGTGAGTATCCAATTTTATCCATGTTCTTGCCTATGGTGATAAATATGTTGTACAGAAACTTGATTTTCTTGAATCAATTTCACGAGACAAAAGATGGGGGAACTCAAGAAGCTAGTGGAAGAGGGAAAGATTAAGTACATCGGCCTATCTGAAGCCAGTGTTGACACAATTAAGAGGGCACATGCTGTTCATCCCATCACTTGTGTGCAAATGGAGTATTCTCTTTGGACTCGTGAGATAGAAGAGGATGTTATTCCGCTTTGTAGGTATGCTCGTATCTGATGAATGTTGTCACTCAAAGATTAAGATCACTTTAATGACCTGGTTACTCATTAAGCTATCTGTAGATATCAGAAAGAACTTCAAGAATTGTCTAATAGATTTTTCTGCCTCCTTAATACAGAGAATTGGGCATCGGCATTGTTGCATACAGCCCCCTTGGCCACGGGTTCTTTGGTGGGAAGGCAATAACAGAAAGCTTGCCTGAGGGTAGTCTGATGGTAAGTAATTGCAGTAGTTCCAAGTATATGTTAGGTATCAGACCGGTCCTCTC